GGGATGGAGGGGAGGGGTGTTACCTAGAAAATTAAACGTGTATACTGTGAAATCGATTCGCATTTGAATAAATTAAAAATTATATAAATTTCATGACAAGCATCCCGGTAGAGTAATTTCAAAATGAACAGAATCAATGTAACAAAGAAATCAGGTAAAATAATGAAATGCAATTTCATAAACACATAAAAACAACTTACACATAAATAAAAAAAATAAAAAAGTATTTATAACTATCAAAACCTATTGCTGGATTTGATGTAATGAGCACATTTCTAAAGATACTTATGTTGTTTTCTACCGAAAGTTGACTATTACCAAACAAAAGAAATTCTAAATTAAAATCAACATGTAACGCATTCACATTTTGGAGCAGGGTGTGAATATTGTGGGATTCTGTCCAATATTTCTCAAAACACATATTTGTATTTCTAAATAACTGCTACCTCGTTTGATAAGGACGTTAAAAGGATTTTGCCATGTTTTATTATAGTACAACGGGAAAAAATAAACAATTATTAAATTTCAAAACATTTGCTTCTTACTTCATATTTCTGTTGGTGTTTTTTTTAAATGAAGCCAATTATCTGCCATTGAGGCAAAAGGGAGGATGCCAAAGTGACGTCATAGATATATTTGTATGTTTTTGAGGTCCTAAGTTACAACCCTGATTTATTATGGCGATGTTCAATCATGAAAGAATGATAAAAAGTCTGCTTGACGTCTGTCACAATTCGTTCAAATAACGTGACGTGCAATAAGTCTTACACGTTAATTCATTTTCCCATGGTTTCTCTTTTTTATTTACAGTTCATTTTCCTGGCTTCATTTTCCGTCACAATTTTATGGGTTTTTTCGTGAGTCTACAAATAATAACTCAAGTTCAGAAAGGAAATATTTTTACAAAACGCTTCCATGTTTAATAAATATTCTCAGTCTACACTTCAATGAGTATCACTCAACTAGATAGAAACCTGCTTCAAATCTTTTATAATGATTATGAAATTCCTATAAATGCATGTACTTTTCGGGGCAGTAACGGGGCCATATTGTCTTAGTAAATAAAGGATTCACGCCACGCGGCGTACACGTGTTCGATGTTGTAGGTACGACAATAGTTTGATATTCTGTTTTTGATGTTTTAGGCGCTACAAGAGTTTGATATTCTGTTTTTGATGTTTCAGGCGCTACAAGAGTTTGATATTCTGTTTTTGACATTTTAGGCGCTACAAGAGTTTGATAGTTTGTTTTTGGTATTTTAGGCGTTACAAGAGTTTGATATTCTGTTTTTGACATTTTAGGCGCTACAAGAGTTTGATAGTTTGTTTTTGATATTTTGGGCGTTACAAGAGTTTGATATTTTGTTTTTCATCTTTTAGGTACTACAAGAGTTTGATATTCTGTTTTTGACATTTTAGGCGCTACAAGAGTTTGATAGTTTGTTTTTGATATTTTGGGCGTTACAAGAGTTTGATATTTTGTTTTTCATCTTTTAGGTACTACAAGAGTTTGATATTCTGTTTTTGATATTTTAGGCGCTACAAGAGGTTGATAGTTTGTTTTTGATATTTTAGGCGTTACAAGAGATTGATATTTTGTTTTTGATGTTTCAGGCGCTACAAGAGTTTGTTATTCTGTTTTTGATATTTTAGGCGCTACAAGAGGTTGATAGTTTGTTTTTGATATTTTAGGCGTTACAAGAGGTTGATATTTTGTTTTTGATATTTTAGGCGTTACAAGAGTTTGATATTTTGTTTTTGATATTTTAGGCGCTACAAGAGTTTGATAGTTTGTTTTTGATATTTTAGGCGTTACAAGAGTTTGATATTTTGTTTTTCATCTTTTAGGTACTACAAGAGTTTGATATTCTGTTTTTCTTCTTTTAGGTACTACGACTTGACCGTGGGAATATCAGACCCTATGGCGTTCGTTCCTCCACCGCAATGTAATTCATCGTGACTTCATCCATATTTCTTAAACCAGTAGAAAATAGATATTTCAGAATAAACCGTTTTCAAGAATTAAGTATAATTTGTTATCTTTTTTATTCAAGCCACATGATGTAATCAATCGTCGTTCACCTTTTGTCTGTAAAATTGTTGGACTAGATATTTAATTAATATCGCAAGATTAAGAAGTTTCAACTTGCAGACTTTATTTATTCAAAGTCTTGAAACATTTTAAGCTGAAAGCGGAATTTTAAAAAAGCTTTCAATTGAGAGCAAACAAATTTAAGTTTTTCTTTTCTTTCTGGTTTTGAGATGTTCCCCAGTGACTATCCCTCCGATTATCGTTTCTAAGGAAGCGCCGACATTTTAGTTTGTGCATGCTTGGTAACGTGTATGGGTCAGGCTTGGTATAAAAAGCGTAATACTGGTTATTTACTTAGTCTAGTATATGTTTCGAATCTTGGTGCCAATTTAATTTCAATAGCCAGTGTGGAGGTGTTACCCTAGTTGCCTGTCAACACCCTTAATCTGTGTCCAAAGCTAATCATAAGTGTACTGTTTGTTAAATACAGAAATCGTTACCGGTGGGGGACTATGGATTGCCTTGCAATACTTTCCCTTGTTCCATTTCATATTGGATTTTCCCCTCGCATAGTTGAACAAAGGTTTTTAATGGCTTTCCCTATGCCAATCGTTAATAGACTTTAACACCGCTATTCCACTACATTAATAGATAGGGATTAATTAACACATCGTCGATATTAACAAGTGTCCAGTCAGGTAAATGGTCAAGGATCTTTAAATCTTCGTTTTTTGTTGTTTTTGTTTTTATCTTACCCTTCCTGGGATTTTACACAAATTACACAATGTGCAATTTAGGGCTGCAACGATATATCGCGATATTTTGAATACGGTACGATACACAATATTTTGGGAGGTAACGATACACCTACATCATTTTCCGGATTGTGTCGGTTCTGATTTAGTCCACTCATATCTGTTCAAATATGGCGAGTGACAGCTCCAGCGCGCGCATGCACGCCGAAAGACGTTAATTGTAAAAAGTCCATTGGGACCCAGTCTATTTTCAGCTGTAATATTGCCATTTACATGTCTTTTCTATTTGCTTCTACTGTTACTATATGTATCGTGACCACGGTATCGTATCAATAAATGATTCATTAATCGATAGGCCTATATGTGAGGTACGTGTTGTGTCATAATAGATTTTATTTGTCAGCAACTCAAAACTCTCCGATACCAAACGGTGTCAGAGAATTCCACATTTTCATTTAGCAGTGCGCTCTGGCCCCACGCCAGACATCTAATATCTGTACATAACAATGTACTTTAGATAAAAGCTAACTTTGTTTTGAACATAAACTTTTATTGAAAACTTATTTTGGGAGCTTTCGAAAACGTGTGCTTCCTTTGTCAGATAAAGAGTGCTTAAGAGTGCATTTTGAACTCTTTTTTTTGAGTGCATTTTGAACCTTTTTTTTTTGACAAAGGAAACAGACATATTCGAAAACTCGGAAAATAAGTTTTGAATCAAAGTTTGGGTTAAGGTTTTTGGCATTTATCTAATTTTTCAAGAGTCCGACATGAAACTCCAATAATTATGTACCAAGATCGACAACTCTCATTAAAACGTTAAAAATAAGGCAAACAACTGCTGTTGTATAGGAAACTATGGCCTCAAAAAGGAATTCTTTTATTTAAAGACAAATAAGATTTGATACGATTTATCAACATTAACATACAAATATATATATATATATATATATAAAAAATCTGTAGAAAGGTAAAAAACTGTAACATTGCCTATAAGTCGTTTTCTAAACTCCCTAAGAAACTCAGCAGAGTTCAAAGGCTTACAAAGTGTTTAACGTCCTCGAAACCTCTAAATTTAATATGAACACAACATGCTTGGGAAAAGCAATGCAATTGTTTTGTTGTTAATTAATATGAACAACGAAAAGTACTGTTCGTGAAGCAATCATGTCACTTAACAGAATGTTAATTACAGCTGAAACAATAAACTTGAACAGGTAGCGTAAGCCGTTCACAGCACCATTTTTTGGCTCTCGTATCACACTGTTAAAACTCGGATTTACTGTAGCGGATTTCGGGGACGAGAATTTGGACAGTAAGGTATTTGTGAACTTGGAAAGCATAGTGGGGGTGAGTCAGTATTTAAACATGCGTAATGTTAACTGCTCATTTCACCTTTTTTATTTGTTTGTATCTAGATAGATGTAGTACGATATGTAAATTGGGATAAGAACCAGATAGACTGTATTCATTTGCGTAGGAAAATAAGGAAGGAAGGAAGGAAGGAAGGAAGGAAGAATGAACGAAGGAACGAGGGAAGGAAAATGAAGGAAGGAAGGAAGGAAGACTTAAAACGTTAAGTTAATTTGAATAAGAGCATCATAGACTGTATTTATTTGCGTAGTAAAAAGAAGGAAGAAAGGAAGGAGGGAAGAAAAATTAAGAACGTAATCAAAACTAGAATAAGAACAGGGTATACTGTATTCATGTGCGTAGGAAAATTAAGGAATGAAGAAGGAAGGAATGAATGAAGGAAGGGATATGAAGGAAGGGATATGAAGGAAAATTCAGAGCGATATCTAAATGTGAATAAGAAGAAGATGGACTGTATCTATTTGCGTAGTAAAGGTAGTAATGAAGAAGAAAGGAATGAAGGAAAGAAGAAAGGAATAATGTCATTTATCATGTCTATCACGTACTCGTAAGGAAGGAAGGGAGTGAGGAGAGAGGGAAGGAAGGAGTGGAGGAAGCTGCATACTTACTGGGTATGCAACCTTTGATGAATACATTCAGCTACTGGGTAAATTATGTTTTAACTAATTGTGGAAACCATTCTACATGAATCACAATTCTGTAAAACATGGTTGTTATCAATTTTTTTCAGGAACACATAATATTTTGCTTTACCTGAATTGATTTAGATCATGAAACATGTGGAATGTAATAAAGAATAAATATAATATAAATAAAGAAAAAATTACTGAAAAATTAAAAAAATATGAAACATATTTCGTACATTATATACAAAGTTTCCGTAACAAAATTAATATGGATTTAACAATTTCATGAATCATAAATAAAATCACACTTCTAAAATATATCTACTTTGGATTTCTTTGTTGTAAATAATATATATATATATTTAAAAATAAGAATTATAAAATGGATTTCATAGAAACCGGTACACATGGCAGACTACTGTACAAACGTTGCTATACTGATACTCTCTCTATATATATATCCATCAATTTTCTTCTATTATCCAAACTTTCTCACTTTCGTTTCAATATGAATGAAACAAGTATTGTTCGTCTCAAATGCCCGTTAGGCGGCGCTCAAAACTCATAACAGGTTATTAACATTAAAGAATGTATCACGATAGTATGAAGTTAAATATAGACTAATATATTTCCGTGACGATAGTACATTAACTTCCAGGATTTCATATGCCACGGTTTCATTGGCTAGTGTAAAGGTCATCTTTACACGACCTCGTTCAGGTCATGACATTTAGTAAGTCATCCTCATTGGTCTGTTAGCATTCATTCTTTTTTATCTTTATTTAGTCCACATGCACTCAGATTGTTTTGTATCTCATTTACTGAAATTGTGAACGAAGTATTCAACTCATTTCTTACAACATAACTCGTCACAGGAAAAGAACAAAGACATCGGAAAAAACGTAATTGCTTTTAAAAAAGCTCACTCTCTCTCTCTTAAGTAAAAACAGCGGTTGACGTCAAACACTAACGTCTAGGAAACTAATGTCTGGACTATTTTTGGTAAGGAGAAGTAAATGGAACACAAGTTTCAAAATCTGTTCATGGAAACTTTCCGGTTGTATAAGTCGTTCACAATAACAAAATACCCGTGGATTGACCAAAGAGTATAAAATAATTACATGATAAAAACATCGGTAGAGGACTGTTTGTTTTGAAGTATATAGGAAGATGTAAATATTAAATGAAAATCTGATTTTTAATAAATGTTTACATCAACTTGTATTGAAAATAACATGCTACTGATGTCTCTTATTTACACATACTCGTGTGCCTCCTTTCTGTTTCCGTTGTCGCCTCCCAGCATTCCCTCACTTGTACTTCCGGTTCGTGTACTTCCGGCGAGTGTACGGCCCAGACCGAGATACCACGAGGAAGCTGCTTGCCGACGCGATGTTCCCGGCGTATCCCATGAACCCTCTCTTTGTCCACTTCCAGGCAAATCGGACGGCACGTCTAGCTCGCTTGGCTGTCTACCAATAAAGATAAAATAGGCAACGTCAATGATGTTGTTAATTTGATTTTCAAAATGAATTAAGTAACTGTAATTTAATTACAACACTTGTATTTCATTTTTATGAGGAATTGTAATGGACGCTGGCTTTCATCCAATGTATCAATACCAATTAATACTGTAGTATTGTTCACAAAGAGAAGATGTTTTTACTCATCAAAATGTTGTTTCTTTTGAACGTGTCTTGTTTAAAAAAACCACACACATTAAACGTATTTCCTGTTCATTTTTTTAGCTGAGAGAAATATGTATTTAAGTAACATATGTTAATTTTCCACTGACGAGCACTTAATGTGCAATATCACGGGCGCTGTTATATTCTGATCGGTAAATTAGGACTTAAAGCAGTAAAATGGAAAACGCCAAATACCCGTTACCTGTTGCTGTAAAAGAGTAACTAACATCATCATCCAACATATGTAAATTTTGCACTGACGAGCACTTAATGTTTAATATTACAAGCGCTGTTCATATTCTGATCGGTAAACTAGGAGGACGTCAAGCCGTAAAAATAAAAGCACTCAATGACCTTTACATAGAACTGTAAAAGAATTGCTGGCATCACCGTCTCACATATGTGTTTTTTGCACTGACGAGCACTTAATGTTTAATATAAGTGAAACAGCAGGCGCTGTTTATATTCTGATCGGTTAACTAGAAATAAAAGCAGTAACATGAAAACCGTTGTACACTGTATAACGTTTACATAGAGCTGTAAAAAAGAGTTAATGTCACAATCATCACACATAGGAACGGTTTAACTGTCACTGGCGTCTCCAATGCCGTAAAAGGACGTATACAGCATGCCATACATTATACACAATCCTGACAACAAAGGTTAGCTTCATTGTTTTCATTGGTTTAAAGGTTTACGTCCTTGCAATGTCTGACGTCATTTGAACGCGGTACCTAGGCAGACACTGACGACAACATGAGAAAAACGCAGAGAAATGAAAAGCTAGAAATACGAAACATAGCGGCAGACTTTAGTTTCATAAGAATTGATATTTCAAAGAGAAGATAATTTGTTTCGAGTGGCAATTGCGAACATTCATATGCATTACCATACATAAGGTGACATTGATAAGAACAGAAATACGACGTTTAGAATAACCACAGAGGACATGCAACATTTAAGCTACGCCATTTGCGTCTCTACAACATTAAAAAGAGCAGAATAACTGTATATATTGTTACAACATCACATGCAAATGTAAACCAACAATACGCTACTGTGTCGACTCAACAGCATGTACGGATAACATAATTAAGGTGAACATGCTAATACTGAAATTGAGAATTTTAACAATGCAATAACATTCGGTTTCCTTATTAACTAGAACAATGGTATAGGTCAGCAAGAGCTCCGCCTTAAGCTTGACCGTACAAATGTGCTCCATGTATGGTAACGGTGACCTTGACCTTACACATTTTTAATAACTTATTGCACATCACCATGCTGAATATCAAAAAGATTAGTCTTTTAATTAGATTCCGAGATAAGGACCGTAGCCCATGTAATCTCTCGAAACCCTGTAATCTCGTTAATCCCTTTAACCTCACTAACCACTGTAACCTCACTCATCCGTATCACCTCACGCGTCCCTGTAACCTCTCCATAACTGTACCATCACTTTTTCCCTGTAACCTCACTAACCTAAGTAACCTCTCGAATCCCTCTACCTCACCAACCAATTTAATCTATCGAATCCCTCTACCTCACTAACCCATGTCACCTCTCGAATCCCTCTACCTCACCAACCAATGTAATCTATCGAATCCCTCTACCTCACTAACCCATGTAACCTCTCGAATCCCTTTAACCTCACTAACCTAAGTATTCTCACGAATCCCTCTAACCTCACTAACCCATGTAACCTCTCGAATTCCTCTACCTCACTAACCCATGTAACCTCTCGAATCCCTTTAACCTCACTAACCTAAGTATTCTCTCGAATCCCTCTAACCTCACTAACCCATGTAACCTCTCGAATGCCTGTAACCTCACTAGCCCATGTAACCTCTCTAATCCCTCTACCTCACTAACCTAAGTATTCTCTCGAATTCCTCTAACCTCACTAACCCATGTAACCTCTCGAATCCCTTTAACCTCACTTACCCATGTAACCTCTCGAATCCCTTTAACCTCACTAACCCATGTAACCTCTCGAATCCCTGTAACCTCACTCGCTCATGTAATCTCTCTAATCCCTGTAACCTCACTCGCTCATGTAACCTCTCGAATCCCTGTAACCTCACTAGCCCATGTAACCTCTCGAATCCCTTTAACCTCACTCGCCCATGTAACCTCTCGAATCCCTGTAACCCATGTAACGTCTCGCATCCCTGTAACCCATGTAACCTCTCGAATCACTGTAACTCATGTAACCTCTCGAATCCCTGTAACCTAACTAGCCCATGTAACCTCTCGAATCCCTGTAACTCATGTAATCTCTCTAATCCATGTATCTTCACTCGCCCATGTAACCTCTCGAATCCCTGTAACCCATGTAACCTCTCGAATCCCTGTAACTCATGTAATCTCTCTAATCCATGTAACTTCACTCGCCCATGTAACCTCTCGAATCCCTGTAACCCATGCAACCTCTCGAATCCCTGTAACCCATGTAACCTCTCGAATCCCTGTAACTCATGTAACCTCTCGAATCCCTGTAACCTCACTAGCCCATGTAACCTCTCGAATCCCTGTAACCTCACTCGCCCATGTAACCTCTCGAATCCCTGTAACCCATGTAACCGCTCGAATCCCTGTAACCCATGTAACCTCTAGAATCCCTGTAACCCATGTAACCTCTCGAATTCCTGTAACTCATGTAACCTATCGAATCCCTGTAACTCATGTAACCTCTCGTATCCCTGTAACCCATGTAACCTCTCGAATCCATGTAACTCATGTAACCTCTCGACTCCCTGTAACTCATGTAACCTCTCGAATCACTGTAACTCATGTAACCTCTCGAATCCCTGTAATTCATGTAACCTCTCGAATCCCTGTAACTCATGAAACCTCTAGAATCCCTGTAACCCATGTAACCTCTCGAATTCCTGTAACTCATGTAACCTCTCGAATCACTGTAACTCATGTAACCTCTCGAATCCTTGTAACCCATGCAACCTCTCGAATCCCTGTAACCCATGTAACCGCTCGAATCCCTGTAATTCATGTAACCTCTCGAATCCCTGTAACTCATGTTACCTCTCGTATCCCTGTAACCCATGTAACCTCTCGAATTCCTGTATCTCATGTAACCTCTCGAATCCCTGTAACTCATGTAATCTCTCTAATCCATGTAACTTCACTCGCCCATGTAACCTCTCGAATCCCTGTAACCCATGTTACCTCTCGAATCCCTGTAACCCATGTAACCGCTCGAATCCCTGTAATTCATGTAACCTCTCGAATCCCTGTAACTCATGTAACCTCTCGAATCCCTGTAACCCATGAAACTTTTCGCATCCCTGTAACCCATGTAACCTCTCGAATTCCTGTAACTCATGTAACCTCTCGAATCCCTGTAACTCATGTAACCTCTCGAAACTTCACTACCTCACTAACCCATGTAACCTCTCGAATCCCTGTAACCCATGAAACCTTTCGAATCCCTGTAACCCATGTAACCTCTCGAAACTTCACTCGCCACTGTAATCTCACGAATCTGTGCTCTTCACTTATTCGTGATCTCACTTAACTTGACTTTGAAATGTTAACAGTTCATTTGCCGCCCGATAACACTCCTTGTACAACCTGTACATCATGCCAGACACATGCAATAACAGGTTTCTGGGTCGGGTCTCTCCTCTCCATTCCATCTCGCTCACAAATTCAATTTAACTAAGAGGATTCGTTTTATCTTCAGCGATTATAAAACTGGGGGAATGTTAAACGGAATTAATCATCTTTGTTACTGCAGCAGTAACTTGCGTTGAACAACGAGAGTGCAGATATAATCACTTTGATTGGCGTAGCTTTCTTTTCAATTCCTTCTCTTTAACGAGAAACCATAAAACATGTCGGCGGGACCCGACGTAAAACACATGTACTGTATATTTAGAAACATATTTTGAGCTTTAAAGAAAAGACCCTGCAATTCCTGGCAGCGTTGAGAGTGAGGCTGGAATCTGAGGTACAGTGTAATTTCCGGTACCGCCGAGTAGCAATAACGGACGCCTCTGTTCTAAATTAATTTGTAGCTTACAGAAATGATATCACACTGTTCGAGTGACTTTCAGTTATGTTGATTAAAAAGGGATACACATACACATTCTTTTCTTTAAAAATTCATTATTAGATAAATAGAATTTCTAATTTCGTTTTCTATCCACAACGATCCTATGTTTAAACCACATGCATCTCAAGTTCAAACTAACTGTCAATTGAACAACGAAATGATAAATGTCACATTCTATAAAGAAACCCTGATTATCTTAGCAAGTCCATTACGCGTTTAATTTTCTGTTCGTTTCAAAGCGGTTTAATTTTTCAAATGAAATTTTGCAGAAATTTTTAATCTTTTCGACATTTCCAGTACTAAATTTCTGATGAAATTTATGTTTTTGAAATAACAATACATGACACGTACATTTGAACTTATTTTTTTTTTTATTTTATTTTTATTTTTAGGTAACTCATTACAGCTGTATGATATCAAAGGACATCAAGTCGCTCTATTAATGAATAATTCATAAGATTAAATATGACAGTTGTTAAGATATGTATATGATTTTTCGAATTCAAAACCGATTCTAGGCAAATCCTATTTTGGGTATTTTCAGAACAGTTGAAATAGATAAGTTTTGTGAGTCAAAAACTAATAAAACATTAATATATATATATATATATCTGCGTCAACACAGAAAACATAATCGCTACAAAACAAGTCAACATGGATCGAAGGGACATCAAAACAGAAGGGAGACTATAAAAACCAGAGGCGTAAA